GGACAGGGACAATTCCCATGATCCCAGGATGCTCCAGGCTCTCTCCAACCTGGCCTAGAGGTTTTGGTCCTGGAGACCCCTTGGAAAATATTCCTTTCTTTTGAGTCAGGGAACAAAACCCTTGGACGCTGCAATTCCATGGGGAAGCAGCTCGGTGCCATCACATCCCATCCTTCTGGAGCTCATCCCTGGAGCCAGGCTGGGAATGTTCCCCGGGAGAAGGGAAGGACCCAGAAAATCCTCCGAGCCCCCGGCAGGGCCTGAAGGAGATCCGGGAAATCTGGAGAGGGATTTGGGATAAGGATTTTGTTGGGAGCACCACGGAGCCCTTCCCAGGGAATCACTCCCATGGGAACAGAGGGATTTTTGTTCCCGCCGGGAGCGAGGAGTCGTTTTCCAGAGGCAGCCGAGGTTCTCTCCCGACGGGAGGGGCAGCGGGAAGGGGCAGCTCTGTTTATCCGCAGGAAGCTGAAATCCAAACTCCCGCTCCCGTCACTGCTGGCATTGTGGGAAAGGCTGGATTTGGGATGGGACAGGGCTGGATTTGGGATAGGAGAGAGGCTGGATTTGGGATGGGGAAAAGGATGGATTTGGGATGGGGAAAAGGCTGGATTTGGGATGGGGACAAAGCTGGATTTGGGATAGGAGAGAGGCTGGATTTGGGATGGGGAAAAGGATGGATTTGGGATGGGGACAAAGCTAGATTTGGGATGGGGAAGAGGATGGATTTGGGAAAGGTTAGAGATGGATTTGGGATAGGACATGGCTGGACTTGGGATAGGGAAAAAGGCAGAATTTGGGATAGGGAAAAAGGCAGAATTTGGGATAGGGAAAAGGGCTGCATTTGGGATGGGGAAAAGGCTGAATTTGGGATAGGACAGGGCATGGAATTCCCAAACCTCCCTGAGTTTCCTTCCATGTTCCTTTGGGATTTTCCCTCCGGGAATGGGATTTTCCCTCCGGGAATGAGATTTTTCCTCCAGGAATGGGATTTTCCCTCTGGGAATGGGATCCGGAGGTGCTGCCGGATGGATGCTGCACCCATCCCTGAGGTTTTCCATGTGGGATTGAAGGATGGAGTGGAATGAAGGGATTTCCCACGTTTGTGGAGTTTTCCAGGGAATGGGAGGGTTCGGAAGTGCTCCTGGTTTGCGTTTTCCAAGGGAAAAGCACGTTTGGGAGATTTCTGATATTGAAATAATTTATCCAATATTTCCTGCTGGATGGATTTCCAGGAAAAGTGGAATTCAGCCGTGGCCAGGGCAGAGCTGTGCTGCTCCAAGGCTGGGAATTGAGGATGGATCCGATGGAAAATTCATCCTGGATTTCCATCAGGGAGGGAAATTCCATCCCTCCCATCCCAGGGATGGCTCTGAGTCCACTGGAATTCCCAGGATTCTCTACACAGATCCTCGGGAGATTCCACAATCCCATTCCCAGATTCTGGAATCCAGAGGGTTTTCATCCCTCTGCCTGCTGCTATTCCAGCCATTCCCAGGGAAAGAATTCCCTCTCCACCCGCCAATCCCCAAAATTCACAATTTTCCCCCAATAATTTTCCCTTTTCCCGACATAACCCGAAGGATTTTCCCTTTCCCGAGTGCTTCAGCAGCGGGAGGGGCAGATTTCCTCCTTCCAGCCTTTTCCGTGGAAAACCTCGGAGCTGCCGGAGCCGGGAGAGCGCCAGGCCGTCCCTGCGGGGTCGGAATGTGGGTCACCGAGCTTCCCTCAGCCGGGATCAGGGATCCAGGGATTAGGATTCACCTTGGATTAACTCTGGCTGTCAGCAAGGTCCTGCTGAAAAACGGGATAAAGGCAGCCAGAATCCTGCATTTTTTCCGGGATTTTTCCCTTTTATTGCCTTTATTTTTCCTTTGCCTTTTCCAGGAGCCATGGGAATGGCGCGTTCCTTGTCCTTTTCCCACTGTGCACAATCAATTTGAATCAAAATTCCAGATTTCTTGGGAAGAAACGATCCCAAATAACCAGACGCGGCGTTGTCCTCTTAAAATCCTGGCAAATTTTGGGGAAAAATCCATCAAATCTTCTGGAAAAAGGAATTCGCTCAGCTGATTGCTCAAAATAAAAGTGGTGGAATTTGAATCTGTGCCGTTAAAAATTCCATCCACCTGGAATTGTGCGGTTTCTGCAGGAATTTCTGCTGCGGCCGGGGTGTGAATAACGTCCTGGCAATGCAGATCAGAAATTTGGGAAAAGTGGGATAAGCCAAGCCTTTGGATAAGCGATGGGGGCTGGAATATTTCATATCACAAAGACAAAACCAGGAATTGCATCCCAGGAATTCACTGGGAGGCAGAACTAAGGAATCACTGACATTCCCATGTTTCCTTTTCCTTCTCTGTCTCATCTTTGGGAATTTTCCTTCCCAAATTCCTCCCTGCAGCTCGAGGGAGGAAATGAATCCCAGGAAACCTCAGGAACGACCTTCTCGGCCCTGATCCGACTTCCCGGAGCTGCTGAGGGCAGAATTCCCAGCACATTCCTTTGTTCCCAATAAAAGGGAGCCGGGAGCTCGGCACGGGAAAAGTCGGGAAGGAAAATCCATGAAATATTCAGCGGCTGTGCCGAGCTGACCCAGTTATTCCGCACGCTCCGAGCGCTGCTCCGGCACGGAGCCAGCACGGAGCAGGGAAGGACGCCGGGCTGGCATCCGGACACGGAGCTTCCTTGGGAATGGAAAAGGTTCCCATCCCGGCGGGAATCTTCCCGGGGGGCTCCGTAAAAGCTTTGGGAATTCCGCAGGGAAAGATTCCCATCCTGTGGGGTCACGGATTGAGGATTAGCGGGAGTTGCGTGATCCCAGAATTTGGCGTTTGTTCCATGGGAGGAGAACCTTGGAAAAAGGGGATTCCAAAGTTTGGGAGGGAAATTCCAGATGCTTCAACTCCAGGCTGGGTTGGATGAGCTTGGAGCAACCTGGGATAGGGAAAGGGATCCTGAGCCATGGCAGGGATTGGGAATGGATCTCCTGGAAGATCTTCCCACCCAAACTGTTCTGGGATTCACGTGGGATCCAATGGCTCTGGAGCCTCTGGAATCTCTTCCAGTCCTTTGGCCCAAGGATTTGGGTCATGAAAGGAGAGGTTTGGATATTGGGAAAGTTCCCTCCCGGAAAGGGTTTTCCAGCCCTGTCCCCATTCCCAGAGGGATTGAAAATCCCCGTGGATGCAGCCCCTGGGGACAAGGATCAGTGCTGGGAATGGTCGGACTCCACGACCTTGGAGCGCTTTTCCAACCCCGGTATTCCATGATTCCGTGAATTCCCACTGAACTCCCGCTGCCCTTCCCCTGCTCCATGGAGTCTGGAGAAACCCCTTCCCATCCATGGATCAGCTGGGAATACTGGGAATATTGGATAAGCCCAGTCCCAGGCTGAGCTGGAATCTCCCTTCTCCAACGATTTCCCATCCCTGGAAGCGCCAATTTCTCCCAAAATTTGATGGTTTTCCCGATGTTTTCCGTGCTTTTCCACTCCAGACTGGCCGGATCGAGCCGAACTATCCCAAAGTTTGCGGTCACCAGGGAAACGTGCTGGACATCAAGTGGAACCCCTTCATTGAGAACATCATCGCCTCCTGCTCCGAGGACACCTCGGTGAGACGGAATTCCGGGATGCAATTCCCAAATCCATCCGTCCCCCCCATCCCGTTGATTCCCTGTTTCAATATTTCCGTGGCATTTTTTTTTTGGGAATGCTGAGGGACAGGAGATCAAAGCCCATCCCAAATCGTGCCCAGCCTGGCTCCTGGGCCAAAATTCCCTCCTGTTGTTTTTTTTTCTGGACACAAATCCAGAGGATCCAGAGGGTAATTCCCATGAGGAGCAGCTGAGGGAGCTGGGAATGCTCAGCCTGGAGAAAATTGTGATCCAGAGGGAATTCCAGGCTCTCCACAAGTCCCAGGGAAGGTTCAGGTTGGGAATCTCCATGGAGACAATGGAAAAGAGGAGCTAAAGCCTGGGGAAATTCCTGGTGGTTTTTAGAGCAACTAACCTGGAAAACCTGGGAGTTTTTATCCCAAAGGATCCCAAAATGTGGAATTTGTGGGGTCAGGTTTGGGGGTCTCGGGACAAGGGAATCTGGGAATTCAGGATGAGGATTCCTGCCTGGATAACGCCATCTACCCCGGCTGGATTTTTCCCAAGGGATCCCAAGGATTCCTTATTTATCCAGGAGAGACAATCAGTAGCCGGGCTGATCCTGAATTCCCAAAAGCTTTTTTCATTTTTTCGGGAAGGAGCTTTCAAAGCCAGGAGCTGGGATGCTCCAAACCCCATTCCAGGCGTGGATCTACCCCGGCTGGGCTTTTCCCAAGGGACCCCAAGGATCCGTTGCTTATCCCTGAGGGACGATCCAGCTGCAGGGCTCATCCTGGAATTCCCGGGCAAGGCAGGGATTGAAGGGCGGGCGTTGGGATGCTCCAAACCCCGCTGCAGGTGCGGATCTGGGAGATTCCGGAGGGCGGCTTGAAGCGGAACATGACGGAGGCGGCGCTGGAGCTGTACGGACACAGCCGCCGCGTGGGGCTGCTGGAGTGGCACCCGACCACCAACAACATCCTCCTCAGCGCCGGCTACGACTACAAGGTCAGGCTCCGGAGCGGCTGGAAAATCCGGATATTGGTCTAGGACCCATATCCAGCTGGGAGGGGCAGAAACTCTCTGACCGTTTAAAGTTAGGAAGTGATTTATTGAAAAATCCGGATATCGATCTAGTACCCATATCCAGCTGGGAGGGGCAGAAACTCTCCGACAGTTTAGTTAGAAAGTGATTTATTGAAAAATCCGGATATTGATCTAGTACCCATATCCAGCTGGGAGGGACAGAAACTCTCCGACAGTTTAAAGTTAGGAAGTGATTTATTGAAAAATCCAGATATCGATCCAGTACCCATATCCAGCTGGGAGGGACAGAAACTCTCCGACAGTTTAAAGTTAGGAAGTGATTTATTGAAAAATCCAGATATCGATCTAGGACCCATATCCAGCTGGGAGGGACAGAAACTCTCCGACAGTTTAAAGTTAGGAAGTGATTTATTGAAAAATCCCTATATCGATCTAGGACCCATATCCAGCTGGGAGGGGCAGAAACTCTCAAAGAGTTTAAAGTTAGAAAGTGATTTATTGAGAATTCCGGATATTGATCTAGTATCCATATCCAGCTGTGAGGGACAGAAACCCTCCGACAGTTTAAAGTTAGGAAGTGATTTATTGAAAAATACCGATATTGATCTAGGACTCATATCCAGCTGGGAGGGACAGAAACTCTCCGACAGTTTAAAGTTAGGAAGTGATTTATTAAAAAATCTGGATATTGATCTAGGACCCATATCCAGCTGGGAGGGGCAGAAACTCTCCGACAGTTTAAAGTTAGGAAGTGATTTATTGAAAAATCCGGATATTGATCTAGGACCCATATCCAGCTGGGAGGGGCAGAAACTCTCAAAGAGTTTAAAGTTAGGAAGTGATTTATTGAAAAATCCAGATAGTGATCTAGGACCCATATCCAGCTGGGAGGGACAGAAACTCTCCGACAGTTTAAAGTTAGAAAGTGATTTATTGAAAAATCCCTATATCGATCTAGTACCGATATCCAGCTGGGAGGGGCAGAAACTCTCCGTTTAAAGTTAGGAAGTGATTTATTGAAAAATACCGATATTGATCTAGTACCGATATCCAGCTGGGAGGGGCAGAAACTCTCCGTTTAAAGTCAGGAAGTTTGTGTTTATTGTGTTTATTGTGTGTGGGATCCCAGATCCACACGGCAGCTCCCAGGTGATCACAGATCCCTTTTATCCATCCAGGTATTGATTACCCAAAATACAAATCCATATTCATCACTTTGGTACATCCCATTCCCAAATCCACACCGCGCCTTCCAAGTACAGAGACCTTTTATCCATCCAAGCATTGAACACCCAAAATACAAATCCACATTCATCATTTTGGTACATCCCATCCCTCGCTTCGTTTGCTAATCACTCCCAAAGCCATTCAGCATGCCTAATTTGTCCCTTGGGATGGGTGGTGTCCCTTCCATGGGAGGGGTCCCAAAATGAGGAAGTCAATTAATTTTTTTCCTCCTCCTGACCTTTCCACCTTTCCAGTGCCAATCTGACAAATGAACTCTTGGTAGAACTCCCATTCCTTGTCTCCAGTTGGTTTTGGAACAGAGGAGCTCACAATTGTCTGATGTTCCTAAAAGCAATTTATCAATTCATATTCTTCATTATAAACCCAGCTAATTAAACATTGTGCTGACGAGCGATCAATTATTAGCTAACTACCAACTCTTAACTTCATCAAGGCCTGCTCATTTATTTTAATTAACTCTAGTAAGGCTTGTCTCTAACTAAAATCTTAGCTCCCCCGAAGTCTCCAAATTCCTTAAAATTTATGTTTCACTTCCCGGGAGAGCCATTCCGAAGGGCTTCCCTGGATTTTGGCACCTCTGGGAGTCACCCGTGGGTGGCCAGGATGGGATCGCGGAACGCTGGAACAGTTTGGGCTGGAAGGAGCTTAAAGCTCGTCTCATTCCGTGCCTTCCGTAGGCCAGGGGGAGCTTCCGTGGGCCGGGGAGACATTCCATGGACCAGGGAGACGTTCCATGGATCAGGGAGACATTCCATGGATCAGGGAGACATTCCATGGGCCAGGGAGACATTCCATGGATCAGGGAGACATTCCATGGATCAGGGAGACGTTCCATGGATCAGGGAGACATTCCATGGACCAGGGAGACATTCCATGGATCAGGGAGACATTCCATGGGCCAGAGAGACATTCCATGGATCAGGGAGACATTCCATGGATCAGGGAGACGTTCCATGGGCCAGGGAGACATTCCATGGATCAGGGAGACGTTCCATGGATCAGGGAGACTGTCCATGGATCAGGGAGACATTCCATGGACCAGGGAGACATTCCATGGATCAGGGAGACTCTCCATGGGCCAGGGAGACATTCCATGGATCAGGGAGACTCTCCATGGGCCAGGGAGACATTCCATGGATCAGGGAGACGTTCCATGGATCAGGGAGACGTTCCATGGATCAGGGACAGCTGCCATGACCAGAGAGACATTCCATGGGCCAGGGACAGCTTCCAAAAACCAGGAACAACTTCCAGAGATCAGGAACAGCTTCTACAGATCAGGGAGATCTTCCAGAGGCCAGGGAGACATTCCAGAGACCAGGAACAGCTTCCATAGGCCAGGGAGACATTCCGTGGATCAGGGGGACATTCTGTAGATCAAGGAGACATTCCATGGATCAGGAACAGCTTCCATAGACCAGGAACAGCTCCCACAGATAAAGGGGAGCTTCCATAGACCAGGGAGACATTCCATGGATCGGGAGACATTCCATAGATCAGGGAGACGTTCCATAAACCAGGAACAGACCAGGAACAACTGCCATAGGTCAGGAACAGCTTCCAAAAAACCAGGAACAGCTTCCATAGCCCAAGAACAGCTTCCACCGGCCAGGGAGACATTCCATGGGCCAGGAGCAGCTTCCACGGAGCAGGAGCACCTCCCACCACGGCGGGCTGCTCCAGAGGCTCTTCCCGCAGGTGCTGATCTGGAACCTGGAGATCGGCGAGCCGGTGAAGATGATCGACTGCCACGCGGACGTGATCCTCTGCATGTCCTTCAACAGCGACGGCAGCCTCCTGGCCACCACCTGCAAGGACAAGAAGCTGCGCGTGCTGGAGCCGCGCTCCGGGAGGGTCCTCCAGGTGGGATGGGGCCCTCGGATGGAGGTTTTAGGGAAGAATCCCGCGGAATGTCAGGAAGCACCCACCGAGTGCTGGAGGTGCTGCCGGCGGGGTGTTTTCCGTG